AGAAAAACCTAACCCAACCTAACCTAACCTAACCACATTCCACCAGTGGTAGTGAATTAACGGAAAAGGTTCTCTTTTTGTTTTATTTCTTAATTTTCTGGTCATATTTGAAATATTTGACGTGACCATTGCTTTAAATCTTCAAGTTTTTGTTACATGATGATGACGTTTTTACTACATCAAACAAGTTAAGGGAAATAGCTCAAGTACAAGTAAAAAACATTGGTACTCAAATATTGGAAAACATTTGTACCTTAGCTACCTTGAGCAAGACGACGCGACGTCTACCTCGTGCTTTTCCTTGGAATACACAGTTACAGTTAAAAGTCGGTTCTACACGCATGGCCCGCCTATCTTAGCCATTACTTTAATATAATGACGGCGCATTAATTTTATTGATTATATGCCAGTGTTTAAGTTGTATAGTTTAAAATCACTCATTTCCTGATAACAAAAATCCTTTAGGAAATAAACTGCATTTTTTAATAAAACATAAACAATATGTAGGCTAATAGCAATATTTTTGTATACAACTAAAGTGCAACGTAAACATGTTAGTGACAATTTGAAACCAGATGTTCGTTAAATAAAATTGCATTGCACTTGAATCCAACTCAAAATATTAGCATCGGCTGCTAGACTTTTTCAAAATTAAATTTTAATTATTGAAAAACAGAATCCAAAATAAAAATTATGTCTCCAACATTCCTATTCTCTCAAAAATATCTTTCTTTCAACAGAAGAATTATGAAAATCCGTTGTTGATTTAGAATCTGCGAATAGAAAACCCCATTTTTTAATACGAGTATGAGATAATATATTATTAACATATGATAAAAATAACACAGTGGACATTTGAGTCAGTTATCAACGCACTCTGTCAAAGTTGTGATGCAACTTTTATAGGTACATTGATAATATTTAATTAACAATTTTCCGATACACAATCTACACAAAATAATCCCCATTTACGCTCAATTTATTTGCGCAAACCAAATAGCACAAACAATCGTATAATGTCACATAGTATGATGTGACAGTTTCACAAACGTGCGAGTTCCAATCCCACTCGGTTCCCAGTTACAGGTATGCCACTTGTGGGAACGCCGGTCCTGGATGAGCCCATGCCCTCAGGATCACATCCCGAGTAACCGGACCCAAGTCGGATGACGCGCCGGATGACAGGAAGGCTTCCGAAGGACGTGGAGGATCTCTTACCGGAACAGCACGCGCGCTTCCCGCTATAGAGTTACATGAGTCCATTGTACCGCTGCGCTCGAGTAGACACTTACACACAATGCTTGGAGGTTTTAGGGGTTGCGGATTAGGGTGGGATCTGTTACGCGTTGCTGACATAAATATTTTATTTTGTATAGTGATGACTGGGACGGTTGCGTCGTCCTGTAATACAGCTAGTTGGAGGTATAATTGTGGCTATGCACTGTGGATGCTATACTCCAATGTGTTGATTAACGTCGCACCAGTGAGTACTACGAATATCCACAGTACTATCCTTATAATCAGACCAAACCGTAATTACAAGACAAAAATATAGTTCAGATTCCACTATAAAATGTCTGTAGCTTAGTTGCCATTGGCTGTACGTGATATTAATTAACAGCTGTGTCTAAGGAACATGTCGGCCTTAGTCGCTAACAAGACTAAAAGATCGCGCCACTCATCCTACACTCATCTCCATTCATTCTTGGTTTAAAATACCTACATACGTATGGTCGCCATTTCAGAACAAAGGTATTAAAGTATTTGAATTACTAAATATATTCAAATAATAAATCCAGAAAAGTTTAAGGAGATGGGAAAAATCGTTGGTTCAATCAAAGATTAAAATTGATCAAGAATTGGGAATAACTTATTGAACAGCGTTGTCTGTGTTGTTAAATTTACTGAAAGTATGTAAAAATACGTCCAATAGCTTCTTGATCAGCATCGTACTTGTTATTAAATTACCTGAAAGTACAAAAATACGCAAATTAACACTTGAATTTACACGTTTGTTTGTATATTTACACTAAAACTGTTGACACACAAGATGTCGTTGATCACAACCTACTCCTATTACGGTCTTGTTTACCCTTTTCTTACATATTGTGCACCCGTTTGGGGTAACGACAAACTTCAAACTAAGAAAATATTCAAACTGCAAAAAAAAGCCCTCAAATTAATCTCCAACCTAAAATAAAGAGAGTCTTGTAGATCCCTTTTTATTTTCATAGAAATAATAGTCTGACCTTCCCATAAATTTTCATTTTTGAATCTTTGACTTTCTAAAAGAAAATTTGACAATGTTTCATATTAGAAGAGTCATTTCACCACAGCTTCAATCTTGGAAGTAACTTCGACCTACCTATTCCACGATCCAGTACAATTTTTCATAAAAACCAGTCTTTCTCCATGTGTATCCGTCTTTTTAATTCTCTTCCTAATACAATTAATGGCGAAAATTATAACAAAAAATTAAGCATGATCTGAGGGAACATTTAGTTGATGAGGAGTTTTAGAGTGTTTCTTCGTTTTAAAAATCTAAATAGTTTGTAACGTTTAAAGTTTGTATCTTTATTTTAATGGGTAGGATTTTACTTGTTTGGTTTTAGTGACTTTTGCCCTGTACATTTCTGTATTATTTTGGCAACAAAAATATTCTGATTTGGATTCTGAAGGCGGTAATTCTTATAAAAGATGGTGAGTGGTGAGAGATTTCGATTTGGACTCTCCAATCATCATCAGACCCCATAGGCGAATAACCATCTTAATTGCAATCCTTTAAATGTATTTACCATCTTGTGAGTAAATATGTAATGTATTATTACTAGTGTGTAATTTGAGGTATTTTTTTTTTTTTTTTTACTTTCAGGTATAATAGTAATAGATGTAGATTTATTTAGAACTACATTTCAAGTGGGAAAAGATCAAACAAACTGTAGAGGGATTATTGGTTATACCAAAAAACTACCAAATGTAAGTGGACAAGGAGTTAACGTATATATCTAATGTAACACTGGTTATACCAAGAATTTTATCTTTATAAGGTTACATAATGTTTTATATAATTGTCATTTATCTAAAAAGGTCAAAAATACCACATATTTATCATTGGGTCAACAGTGTTTGTGGGTCAAAAGACGATTTGAATTAATTAGCTTAATAAAAGTAATTTAAAAAACTTCAATTATGACATACCACTGTACGTATTTCATACTGATGTTCAATGGTATGTGTGGCATTAGTTTGCATACTACCGTACTAAAATAATATTTCAAAAATCTGTATCCTATTAACTAATGTACTACGCGACGACGTACAGGGTGCAAATCACACTGTACATACGCTCTTTCTTTAGCCAGGATCGTACGGCTAAATAGCTAAACTATAAATTTAGCATGACGATTCGTTTGACACTATCGACTCATTTATAGGCTGTAGTTCACATGCTCCAAACTGAACATAAACTTTGTCTCGCTGATAGTTTGCACAGAGTGTTGTAACTGTCTGTACACAGATAATATTGAATTTTTGTTCATCAGCTAGGTTATTTGTTTGTGTTTTGAACTCCTTGGACTGGATAACATTATATTTTATTATATTAGTTTTATTTTATGTTTAAATTAACTTACAAACACTTAAAAACTCTTGGTGCCATTTCCCTAGAAGATAGATTGTGTGACATTGATATTTCCTGCATGTTTTATGTTAATTATATTTTTGTAATTTCTGTTACATATTTACAAATAGTAAAAGTCCATCGTCGTAAATTACTATCAAATATTTTATTGTCATGTCATTTTTGCTCGTAATAGAATTTTCATTGGTCATAGTAAAAAACAAAGTACGAAAAACATTCAAATTTAACGCACAAAACATTCTTATGTGGATGTACTTCATTTTAAATTATTAAGTTCCTTTCCGGCGGAGCATAGTGTATTTAATAGTTATTTTATACAACATTCCGCAGGTAATAGTAGATAATAATAATGATGACCTTTTAAAAAAGAAATAATATTTTAGTTGATTGAAAAAAAGATAAAATGATGAAGATGTCCTTTAAACACCACGTTTTTACATTACTTTTCATGATAATAATTTCTTTGACTTTATAACGGCTTTATCTTTATTAGTTTACGGGTTTACTATTTCTTTGTATAGTTTTCGTATTAGATTTATTATAAATTATCCCTACTTCTAAGAAGCAAAAAGTACATAATTGTATCTTCTTATATTGTGTTTAAAATGAAGATTACGAAGACATCCATACACATTTTATTCTCTTCAGGTTCAATTATATAACACAAATTTGTATGATATATGATCACCGTCATACTAGTCAAACAAGCCCGATTTTTGCTAGATAACTCTGAAAAAATCTCCATTAAAAACTTTTAAGAACAAAAATGTAGCATGTTTACTAAACAATTCAACTTTTTTCTAAGAATGGTACGGAACCAGAATTTAAAATAGTTTCAATTTAATTTATTATAGCAATAAATTTAAGTATAAGCCCAATGTGTATTTAAACTTCAAAATAAATATATATAGCTTAATATTTTAATAAAAACAAACTATTGCTTAAGGCTTATTGGTTTACTCCCGTTAAACGGAAGTTATTTTATTCATACTTCTTTGCAAATCTCAAGGTAATTCATTGTTCTGCATAGTTGTGTATCAAATAACAAACTCTGCTTTGTAAGAGAAAATCACCTACTTGAAAACTTCACACTAATGACCTGCGACACCATTGTTTACGCCGCAACAATGCTGTTTATTGTTGTGTGTATTGTTGAACAACACGTGACGTAACGAAGCAACAGTCGAGAGTCACCTCCAATTAGCGGTGGGGGCGGCTCGAGGGGAGGGGCGACCAGAGGGCCGTCATATTTTTCAGGGGTGTAAGAAGCCCCGATGCGCGCGCACTCTGGAGGGGGGCCGGGGTGTTGCGCCCTATATAAGCGCTCGATCAGAGGCGCTCCGGTTCAAAAAACCGCACGAGCCTCTGGGGTCGATTTGTTCGGTTCGGTTTTTTCTCTTTTTTGTGTTTATTTTTCCTTATTCTTCTCGCTGGTTTTGTGTGTTGTGTGTGTCTCTGTGTCTATGTCGCCCCGCAACCTCCCTCCCAACGCTGCCTCCCCCACGTGATAATGCCGCGCTGTCTGATGGCCAAGAAGTGGAAGTCGTACCCGTGGCCCCAGGCTGCGGAGGAGGAGGAGGAAGAGATCGACGTCGTAGGAGATGCTGTCGGGCCTTCGCCCCAGTGCTGGGGGCCGTCTAGTCCCACCGCCGCCGCCACTGCCCCCAGTCCGCCTCCGCAGTCGCCGCTACCCTCCGACACTGATACTGACCGCACCATCCTCTACCATACAGGTGGGTGTCACGTGGCTAGCTGCTATAACCTATAACTCTTACGTACTGTTGCAAAATACAATATTACGATGACGTAGAAATCATACACTACTTTTAGCAACTCAATAGAAAGTAACGACTACTGCATTAAAAAGGTCTGATAAAATGTGTAATGTTCCAAAATATTTATCGCATAGTGTTGCTAATGTCTATAACAATTTCTATCGGACCATTAAAGTATGCATTGGATCAATTTTGCTTTGGAAATTACATTTACACCAGTGCTCAAACTTGACACAGGTAATTTGGAGAATTGTACAATAAAGATCGGCTAATTCATGAATATTTTATGAAATATAAACAAACAGCTGCAAAGTTTTGCAAAGTCGTAATTTTTTTTGTGTAAGAGAGCTAACCTAAAACAACTGTGGTCATTAAAATCAGTTTGTTGAGTAATTGATACCATTTGAGGTTAGAAACCCTTGGTTGACTTTTCATGACAGGCTGTTAGATGGATTTGCATTCCTCTATAGGATCGCTGTTCAATAAATAGCCCATGCTGTTTAATGTGTAATTTTTTCTACTGTTTTTGCCACTTTATATTTGTTTTCCAAACCCAGGCTCTCCCTAACTTAACCCTTTTTTGAAAATGCGAATATATTACCAACTTAAGAACTAAAATTCTTCCAGTAACTACTCCCACTAACTACTCAAACGTTTTCTCCAAAGTTTTTTAGTCATTGATAAACGGACGGTTTGGTGTTGTATATCAATAAGAAAGTAAACTAACATTTCATGAACTGTTCATAATAGTTTTAGTGATTTGTATCTATGTGATCATTTTAAAAGGTGTAAGGAATATGTATCATAGTTTGACACAACTCTTCATCTCTTAGGAATGACATTATGGCTACAAATCCTATATTATTACTGTCAAATAGTTTTTTTGAAAGTTTCAGAGCAGTTTTTAAAGATGATAAATAAAAGGAACTAAGGATGACTTCACTTTTAAATAATGCTTCTAGCTCCTTCATAAGTCTTTTTTTGACTAAACGATTGAAAATTATTGAACGAAATTGAAACTGTTCTCTTGTTATTAACTGCACTATGAATGCAATAGTATATATTTACGAAACAAACTGCTACTGATCATTTTATGAAGTTGGAAGAACTAGTTTTAAACCGGTTAATGGTTACTGATACAACCCTTCTGAATTACTAATTTCACCCCTCACGCACACTCGTGAAACAAGGTTAAAAGACATCTTGATAAAACCTGAGAATAATCCTTGTGTTAAGACAAAGTAGAATTAAAATTAGAGTAGAATGTGTATTGAACCATAACCATAATAGCAATGAGAAAGCGTCTAGATGTTTAGTAAAATTGAGTGTTTGTAAGTTTGAGAAAGATTTGAATTTATGACAGGCAAATTTAATTATAAATAATACTACAAGTAGTCTTCTTATAGTACCTATTGAAAAATGAAACTTTTTTATTTGTGTTTCTTGTCCAAAAAGCTTTGAATGCATTGCATGTTTTATTTTATTTGAGGTTAAATTTTACATCTGCTTTACTCTGTAGATTTAATAATAGGGGACAAACAAAAGTATTGAAACAGCAGATCGTTCTATTTGTAAATACATACGAGATTAATTTATCTGTATGAAGTGAGAGTACAAAAAAACTAAACGTTCTATTTGGTCATCATAGTCACAAGGTTAGTGATATATTCTATAGAGAAAAATAAATATTAAATATTCAGTTGATTTATTATCATAGCAAGTCTACAAGACAATATGTGCAATCTTCGACGAAGTATTGAAGTACTACGGTTTTATGTGGTAAAATCAACAAGGCTACCAACAAGTGTGCATCAACAAGTTCAATTTAGTTCTTCGTGCTTTCTTCAGTGTATATTGTATAGTGTATAACAAATAGTGTATACTGTATGACGTGTATTATACACCGACTACAGGGCGTGTTCCAAACCGGTGACTGACAGGCACAAATTGGTGTTTATGGACGTCTCGTGCGTGCGAACACGATCGATTATAATAACACTGTTGCCAGGAGCTTCTTGATCGATAAGCCATCTGTGAAGGAAGCTCATGGCTTACAGGTGGGTTTGTACATGAAAATAGGGGAATTACCAGCTGGGATTCAAGAAGAAGGTTTAGGAGAAGAATTTTAGTTTATTCTAACGAATGACTACTGCATTTAAACTTAAACTCCAATTCACGACATTTTAAGAATAAAGGAAGTATGTTGAGAAGTAAGGGATAATAATACTACTTTTTCGCAACATCTCTTGAACAACACCCCTTAAATCACCTTTTAATCTTTTTAGGAAGTTTTTTGTTTAAGTTACACGAGGATTTCGCAATACCACGTGAGAAAAAACCCTTAAATAACCTTAAAATCTTTTTAGGAGGTTTTTTATGATGAGAAACTGATGGGGTTTGCATTTTAGAGTAGGTTTATACTACCACTACCAGATAAGTTACACAGGAATCTTAGTCAACAACTTACCAAAACCGGTTAAGTTGTTAAGTTCAGCTAAGTCAACGAAAACATCCTTCTTCGGTCTTCTAAGCGGCCTACAGTAACTTAACATACAACATTACTAAAACACTTGAGAACTATTTAATTTAGCCAAATTGACAACATACATATTTTGGCCAAGTCAACATAGTAATTAAACCTCATAACATTTAATTGGGTTAGATTATGTTATAGAACTGAGTTTATGTTGATCATTCAAAACAAGATCACATAAAAAATTTTCTAAATGCTACAATTAGCCATAATTGTTAGTTAAGCCTACGTAATTCAGCCTTAGTGTACAAAGATAAACGGAATAACTCTCTCACAAATATTGAAATCAACACTAACTGACACTCACTACTCCTAAATGATACTCAAATCTCATTACACCTGACGAAACAAACATGCAATCAAGCGCGAGCCAAATTAAGGGACTGATTTGTAAAACAAATGAACGATTTCAATTAAGCGCTTGCAAGTTCCGTAGGTTTATTCAGGTCCATTACACACACAAAGGTACAAACGCCGGGGTTCAGCCCGCATCAAAAAGCAGCAGAGATGCCAAAGTTGGGCCCAGTCTAGCAGAAGACCTCGCTATTACTGCCTCATTCTCCTCAAAACGTTATTTCTCCCAACGAAATTGGGCTTTTGAACTGCACAAAAGCGTCTTATTGGAAAACCCGATGAAAGATTTCGAAATGGGAGTTACAACCAAGATGTGGGGATAAGGGCAATATTTTCTACTTAATGGAATAAGGGAATCTGTAAAAAATCTCATAAATAAAACCATTTCGTTAGTCGTACGATTCTATATGGTTTCATAAACTACTTGTTTCAGCTATCATTAAACATAATGGATGAGCTAACTTAGATTGTTTTTACTACATGTTTATTAATTACATTTCATCAAATGTCTGGTACTATATTGTGGAATCAATTTATTAACTAATAATATTCTCCAGCCATATTTATTTATGATTCCTAAGTTTTATTTAATATATTGGATTCGATTGTGTGTCTATATACAAACTGATGACTACATCAAATCATTTTAGATCAATCAGTTATCTATGCGAGTGGTGACACTTTAAAACCTGCGATATTCTAATAAGACCGTTGATATTCAAGTAAGTCATTGCAATGCCAAACTTGTCCTCGTGAAAGGATCCATTTCTTTGCATCTTTTTGTCGAAGGATAGAGGCGTTCCGCAAGTTAGTTGCCTGGGGCCTATCTTTTTCTCGGCGTACACTTCTGATCTTGCGAGTCAATTAAGGTGTTGTACTTTCATTAATATGGAGATGTCATCCTTCATTACTTTATTTCAATCTTTGAATTTCCTTGACACAATCAGGTATGTTAATTATGATTTGTGGTTAAGCAATGATCTGAAGAACATAGACCTCAACTCAACCTTACTTCAACATACTTGTTTTCCTAAATATATGGATTCTACATATGGTTCGATATTTTTCCTCAAAACGAAAAATTCATCCTTCTAACAGTTGTAATTTATGTTGTCTCGTTTTAGTTACTACCACTATCAACGGCTAACTACACTGTCTTCACAAAGTACGTTACCTCTAACACTGACTATATATCGTTACACATATATCCTTTCAATACAGTGAACCAATTTCCTTCATTCATGTTAAAACTTATTTTTCACAATCATTTAAATGTTTTATCCAAAGATTTTTCGAAATCCTGCAGAATAAATGGGTTAGTCGATAGCAGAGTAGCCCGGGTAGGGTTGCAGGGAAGTGACATATTATTAGGGCGCTAAGATGTTTGCAATCCTGGGGGATTACCTCGCTCCAGGAATTATTTATCAGGGAAGCGTGGGAACAGGCACGTGACTCGGCTAATACCAGCCCGGGAGTTTTACACCCTGCGAAAAGTTTTGGTGTTGGATTTTATGGCGACAATTTTCAGATTAAGGTGTTCACGTTGTGGTTAAACAAGTAATTATTCTCCAAATAAAGTAATAAGTGTCATCAACTCTTCAGCAGCTGATTGAAATTAAGGAAATTAACATTTCTAAGATGGTAAGATGGTCTCACAGTGTCCTACAAATTTAAATTATTTTCACTTTGGTGTTTGAAAAAATATTGTTGAATGATAAATAACTCTTCAGTAGCTGTTTGGAATCATCCAAGGTGGCCACTAGCCTCCAAGGACTCTTAAATAAAGTATACAAAAAATTATTCTCCAAATAAAGTACCGATTACTGCGGTAGGTGAGATAGTAATAACTCGCGACCTGTTGTTATAAAAACCAGAAAACTGTTGATTATAATTTGATAAAAAAAAACTTTATGTCTGATAGAAGCACTTACAAAAATTTACAACCTTAAAAAGACTCATAAAGTTTTAATAGTTCAGAAAAGTGTTTACTGTACGTCATATTTGTATCATGAATTTGCATTCACAATCATAGCACGTTTGAACGAATATAGAAACGGATCAAACTATTTAA